AATTATTTTTATAACATTACCTTTAAAAAAATGTAAAAAATATCATATGATTTGAGTTAATAGTCATAATTAATGGAGGGATCAAAATTATATCATCTTTAGAATTGAGGAATAAAAAAATATAAAAAATAATGAAAAAAATATAAAAAATAATGAAGGGATAAAAAAATTGGTAAAGTGGCCATCAGTCCTACCTCCCAACAAAATTTGGGGTCCTAACAAAAAACGACGTTGTTCTCTTAAACCCAGCCCTTTTTCTTTGCCTTTCCCTCTTTTGCCTTTGCCTTTGCCTTTGCCTCTTCTGCAATCATCTCCGTTACCCCGCCAAAGTCTTCTTCCTCACCTTGACTTTTGGCCTTTTCTCTCTCGTCTCCCGAGCTTTCATTTTAGCCAGCAGCCATCAAAGGCGATCAAGCCCTGCTGCGCCCCCTCGCTTGCTGCACCTGAGCCTGCGCCCTGCTGCACCCGAGCCTACGCCATGCTGCACCCGAGCCTACGCCTTGCTGCACCTGGGGCTGCGCCCTGCTATGCCTCCTGCACTCTGCGCCCCCAATCCTACGCCTCTGCACTCCTGCTTGCTACAGCCCTGTCCTTGCCTCACCTACAAAAAAAACAGCCCATACCAGACAAAATCGGCATCATCTTCATCCTGTCCTCTATTTTTTGCTTCAAAGATCAGTGATTGATGGAAGAAGTTTTTATTTTATTTTATTTTTTTATTTGGGTATATATATAGGAAAAAATCAGATCAAAGAGGGGGTCTTTGGTTGATTTTCGAGTTTAATTTGGGAGTCTCCGTCTGGTTTTTGAGAGTAGTAGAGGGAGACTTTGAGGAGAAGAAAGGGGGATTTTTGCTTGATTGAGTGTGGTGTTGATGGTGGAGAAGAGGAAAGTTTTTTTTTTCTTTTACTGGAAGGAGACTGTTTGAGAAAGGAGATTGTCAAGTTGCAAGAGGGATTTCATCTTTGGTTCCCATTGTTAGGTATGAGAGAGTCCATTTGAAAAATTGGAGGAATTGGAGGAACTGATGGAGATAGAGATGGAGATGATTGTAGAAGAAGTGAAAAAAAGCAGGGGTTACAGTCGACGGAGAAGATGAATTGCAGTGGAATCGAAGGATACAGAGGAGTCGATGGAGATGAGAGGCGATGGAGAAGGAATCAGAGATAGAGATGGAGATGATTGCAGAAGAGGGAAAGGCAAAAGAGGGAAAGGCAAAGGGGAGGGGCTGAGATTAAAAGAACGATGCCGTTTTGGGTTGGGACTCCAAATTTTTTGGGAGGTAGGACTGATGGCCACTTTACTGTAAAAAAAATATAATTTTATAAAGTTAAAATATCAAACTTATATATATATTGAAAAGGCAACGGAACCTTTATACTTTTTTTTGTTGAATAAATTCGCAAGGAACTAGATTTAAAATGTTGTTCTAAGAAGGGAGAATGTACTTATACGTAGTCTAATGTTACTGGACCGAAGAACCAAATGCATGAAACCTTTATACTTAAATTAGTCATTCATTTCACCATTAATTTGTAAGTTAGGTTTCCCCTGAGAGTGCCAGGTTCTAGTTGTAGTTCCAAGTTTTTAGGTTTTTAAATATCTTAAAAGGCAAAACGGAAAAACAGGGCGTCCTAGGGTTTTTAGGTTTTCAAATATCTTAAGAGGCAAAACGAAAAAACAGGACATCTTGAAAATCCGGAAACCCACCTTAAAATATATAACAAATTTAATTTATTCAAACCTAATTTGTTTGTTTCTCTTACTAATTGTATGATCCTTCCCTAATGTATATCAAAACATACAT